TTGCTGCTATAAACATTGGGGTACAGATGGCCCTTCTTTTCACTACATCTGTATCCAAGGCAGACTCTTAACTGAGGCACCCAGGCTCCCCATGGGGCATTTTGAAAATGCTTGACACTGGAGCTGGAGGAGTACTTGATGAGGACTCAGGGGTGTACTTGGACCTCTGAGAGTAATGGGAGGTGGAAGCTCTCAGTAGGCAGGGACCTGACCACCTGGTTTACCCTCAGGTGTGAAAGAGTGTTACTCTGGACAGACTCTAGCCCTGACTCCCTTCACTGACTCAGCATCAAAGGGGTTTTCAGTCCCACTGTCACCCTGACTGGAGCCCACCCCCAGGTCCCCAATAGTGCAAGCAGAGACTCAATGCCTCTGTCTACCCCCACGAAACCTGAGGAAGAAGGTGCTGACCCCTTCCAGCCTCCATGATGGCAGAGCAGAGTGAATCTCGGTGTCCTCACACCCAGCCAGAGAGCAGAGGTGAGCAGAGTAGTGAGCAGGTGCTCAGAGCACCTGGCTTCAGTTCATACAGCAAACTGTGAGCTGAGTTCTGTCCAGTCTCTATGGCAGAGTGGGGCTGGAAGCCAGGGTCTCTGCCCTATGGGAGAGGTGACCCTTTGCCCTGTTGTGTTCCAGATATCAACGAGGGTAGATCACCGTCAGCAGTGTCCTGTGGAAAATTCGCAGATTGCCAGAACACAGAGGGGAGCTACTACTGCACACGCATTCCAGGATATGAGCTTGCTTGTGGGGCAAGAATGTTCAGGAATGAGAGTGAGAACATGTGTGAAGGTAAGAATTCCCTTGTGTCTTCCATCTCCTCCTCCATGAGGTTTGGGATCACTCAGCACACTTTCTCCAGTCATCAGAGAACATCCTGGCATCTTGTCCCCTTCTAAACCTTAAGGCTCAGAACCTTATGCAGAGGGTCACTTATGCAATTTTGGAATATACTCCTTGCCCATCTGGCATCTTATTTTCATAAAGCAAATGAAAGAGATGGCATCAACATACTTCACAAGCTGAGAGGATGTGTCTTCCAACACATCATCCATCTTCTTCACCATCATCAATAACTGCCATGAAGAGTCCTGTCTCCACCGGGAGCCCTCTTAGGCCCCTGGGTCCAGATATATGGGAGGAGGGTGGGCCCAACTTCCCCAGCTGGCTCTCCCCTGGCCAACAACCCCACCTGGAGAAGACATGTCCTGGCATCTTGACTTGGGTTTTTGTCTGCTCTGCCACCATGTATTTCCCCATGCAAGTCTCTGCCCAACTCTCCCCAATAATTTTTATTCACCAGCCTGTGGGAAAATCAGATGGCTACGATCTGATAGATTGTTCTTCTGGGGGCAGGAAGGCTGATATGGACCACCCCCACCACCACTTGGAGATTCAGGTGAATGGAAGAGGATCCCATCTGAACAAAATGGCAAGAGAGGGCATAATTTGGGACCATTGCCCCAAGCTTGACTCTCTTCCAAGGGGGTCAACCCAGGTCCCATGTCAACTCAGACCACTTGGGGACAGATTATGGAGGCTAAGCCCGTTTGGCAGGGCCCAGAGCCTGTGTCCTTTGTTGGGATACGGGGCCAAGAAGACAGAAACCCCTGCCTCCCCTCACCATTATCACCTGTCCCCCATTCCAGCCACTTGGCCCTTGCCAACCTATACCTTGCTCAGATGTGGATTCTTGCCACTTCCTGCCAGTCCAAGCATGCCTTCATGGGAATCAGAAAAAGTTACGTTCATCACCCCAAGGCCTCTTGGCTGAACATCAGCCCCCACTGTCCTCCTCAGCTTGGTGCCCACTGTCTGGGTAGACCAGGACTGGTTAGAACAATTTTTATTCTCTCTTCTTCTATAGATGGCTTTCTCCTTTAGGAGCCTGGCTCAGGTTTGGGTCCTGGTGCATCTCCATGGAGCTGGAGTCTCAGATATAGTGTGGATGAGAGAACACTGTCCTGCAAGGGTCACCGGGATTCCAAGGGCAATGCAGGCAGCAAGCAGTTGCCCTGGAAATTAGGATAAAATCCATCACTGGGAACCAAGATGTTCCTGCTTGGGGATCACAGTATTCCCTTGCACTTGGATCCCAGGAAGGCCCATCCAAATCCTCAGGCTATAACACAAGTGGCCATGATGTCCCTGTCCTACCAGCCAGCATCCCAGAGAGTCTGAGGGAACAAGAGCTGGCAGATGGAGAGGACTTGGACCACTTCTGGCAACATCTGGACAACAGAATATCGGGTTTGTGCCATGCCAGGCTATGATATGGCTTGGTGTTCTATGCCAGGAGCCAAAGTGGTCCTTCCTATGGGGAGACACAAGCATAACCTCTGCGCCAAGTGATGAGTTCATGGAGAACTTGCCATAGATTTGAATTTAGGTCTTTCCATAAGACTAAGGAACATGGCCCCAGGGATTCCCATGTGAAATGTTATATTTTAACCCCATTTTTTAATGGGGTAAAAATTGATCTTTCAAACTAAAGTAATTTAGTGTTAGAAGTGCTTTATATAACAGAAATCAGTGGCTTTCTTATACACTAACAATGAAAATACAGAAAGGGAAATTAGAGAATCGATTCCATTTACTATGGCACCAAGAACCATAAGATACCTGGGAATAAACCTAATCAAAGAGGTAAAGGATCTGTACTCGAGGAACTACAGAACACTCATGAATGAAATTGAAGAAGACACAGAAAGATGGAAGACCATTCCATGCTCTTGGATTGGAAGAATAAACATTGTTAAAATGTCTATACTGCCTAGAGCAATCCATACTTTTAATGCCATTCCAATCAAAATTCCACCAGTGTTTTTTAAAGAGCTGGAGCAAATTATCCAGAAATTTGTACGGAATCAGAAGAGACCCCGAATCACTAAGGAAATGTTGAACAACAAAAATAAAACTGGCAGCATCACGTTATCTGATTTTAAGCTTTACTACAAAGCTGTGATCCCCAAGACAGCATGGTACTGGCATAAAAACAGACACATACACC